CGTTCAGGGGGACCGCACGGGAAAAACGCATGAAATTCGACGACGACGACGACGACGAAGGACGAAGGACGAAGGACGACGACGACGACGACGACGAACGACGACGACGACGACGACGACGACGACGACGATGACGACGACGACGACGACGACGTGACGACGACCTCTTGGAGCCGTCTTGGGGCCGTCTGTGGGCCCTCTTGGAATCGTCTGGGTGACCGATCTCGGGGCTCTATTGGGATCGTATTGGGGCCCCCTTGGAGCCGTCTTGGGGCCCTCCTGGGCTTGTCCCAGGGCCCTCCGGCGGAGCCCAAGAAGGCCCCGAGAGGGCTCCAAGAGGGACCCACTAATTATGTACCAACCGAGGGCCCGCTGGTACAGAATTCCTGGGCTTCTCTTGGGGCCATCTTGAGCTCCTCCAGGAGCCGTATTGGGGCCTCTTGGGGGCCCCCAGAGGGCCCCAGGACGGCTCCACAAGGGGCCCCAGATGGCCCCAAGAGGGACCCAGGAGTTATGCACCAACCGAGGGCCCGCTGGTACATAATTCCTGGGCTCCTCTTGGGGCCATCTTGGGTTCCTCCTGGAGCCATAGTGGGGTTTTCTGGCAGCTCGCTCGGGGGCTTCTCGGGGTCCAGAAGGAGGAAGAGGAGGAGGAGGAGGAGGAAGAGGGCGAGGGGAGGCAGGAGGAGCTGCAGGAGGAGGAGGAGGAGGAGGAGGCAGAGGATGAGGGGAGGGAGGAGGAAGAGGAGGCGGACGAGGAGGAGGAAGAGGAGGAAGAGGACGATGGCATCAAATTTATGCGCGAGAACCGCCACCATCCAGGGGTCCAGAGGAGGAAGAGGAGAAGGAGAGGGAGGACCCCCCAGAGTCCAGGGGCGGCCCAGAGTCTGAGCAGCACTTTCTTTCAAATATTGTCCAACCACAAGCACATTCTAGACTCGGCAAGGAGACACCGTCGCTGTCTGACCTGGCGGGCGCACGCGTAGGGGCGCGGGCTCGTCCACTGTAATGGTGAGCTCGCTCGTGCCCTCAAGAGCGGCACTGGCGGAGATCACGCGTGTGAGTGATGAATGTGTGACTTACCATGTGCCGCATTATGTGATGTTGCTGACCTCGGGCCGCAGACGTGATGTCTGAAAGTTTGCACTGAGACTTAAGCGAGATGATGGCCCTGTCACGCATCCGCTAAGGATGAAGAGCTGGTCTTGGAGAAAGCCCCCGGGGTCTAGGACCCGTTTCCCTGGGGACCCCTTTCCTTCTGATCGAACTCTATATGACGTCTTGTCTTTCGGGAGACAGAATTGAACCCAGAAGCGAAGGTCACTGCGGCAACTGATCCCTGAGACTCACGCGTAAACGCGTTCCTCCGACACAGGCGTGAAGCGCAAACTCCGTGACGGTTAAGACGGGCCTCGCTCTGGGCTGAACGGCCACCCTGTGCAGAAACATACCCCAAGACGAATACCCCGTGACAGTCCGACAGCAGCCGAAACTCCAAGCGGACTCACACACCTGCTGCTCCTCCGGCGCGCACATTGGAATGCAATCGGCGGGGAGGGAAACGAGGACGGGACACGTGCCAAGCGAATTCCCACATCAAGGGGAAGTCAGAGGGGGGCGGGCCTTCTCAGAAGGCTCGGAAGGCCTCAAGCCTGCCGAGAAGTTGTCTGAGTCTTCTCCGAAGCAGTGAATAGGGGGTGGCGGAAGACGGAAACGTGCACCTTCTGTGACCTGTTGGGCCCCTGGTGGCCTCTTTAGAGCCCCCGAAAGGTGCACATTTCTGCACCCGCATTCATCGCCCCCCCCATTATGCAACGACTGACAGCCCCCTCTCACTTCCCCCGTGGGCCCGGGGGCAGAAAGCAAGGCGATGCGAGAAAGAGGGAAAGAGAGAGAGAGAGAGAGACAGCGAGAGAGAAAGGTGACAGGACGACCAGCAAGACCACCAGCAGACTCACGCACACAGGCTCACCCACGGCGCGGTTGCGGATGCGTGGGGCAGCGCAACCGAATATGACCGCACTGGCCCCACACTGCCATGCGCCCCCGCCTCAGCTCGATTGCCTGCCTTGGCCGTCTCCGGGCCTATGCTCCGCTCGTATCTCTGCCGATCTCTTCCGCCGCAATTTCTCTGCGCCCATTACCCCCGCACTGTGCCTGCGCCTGTTCCCGCTTGATCGTTGCCTCGCTTCGACTGGCCCCCCGCTGCCTCCCTGACAGCGAAACAGCAGGCGCCACGTGAATGCAGAGGCCAACCTATTGGGGGACTCTCGGAGGCCATTCGCCATTCCACTGGAAGTGGCAGCGAACGGTCAGGGCCCCGCTGGCGCCAGCACCCACTGGGAACATGATGGGCACGGTGGCCCCAACCTTCCCCCCGAGGAAGGGCCCAGCTCTGAGGCAGGCCGCGCTGACCGCGCGCGCAGCGCACTTGCCTCCCGAGTCCGCGAATCCACTCTCCGACCACTCTGCACAGAACACCACCGGGTATCCGATCTGGCTCTGGTCCAGATCGCGTTCCGCAGCCCCGCAGGTCAGACCCAGGAAAAGACGATGCCGTACCCGGCGCCAGGGCACCGCGACCACGAACGGACGTCGACCTGAAATCGGCGAAACATCGCCGACAAAATCGGCGGGAGGCCTTCGATAGCAAATCCGCACTTGAAGGGGAACTGGGACACACAAATAAATAGACACAAATAACCAGATTCCCCATATTTTCTCATATTTTCTGGGTTTTTGTCTTCCCCCCCACTTCCCATATTTTCCCATATTTTCCTGGGGACCGACGATTAATTGTGTCTGTGTGTTTTTTTCGTCCTGAGCACCGTCCTGATCGGGGTGGGCGATCGGGCCCCTATCAGCGATCATTGGGCGACCAGGGATCGATGAGCCCACCCCCTCTCCCACAGGTTGCCTCTGATCGCCTCTTCTCCCCCCTCCGGTCCTGTGGAGTGGCTAAGCGCGCATGCTTTGCGAGCAGCACGAGGGCGAGCAGCATCACTTCCGCGCGCGCCCAGTCCTGCAGGGCGAGAGGCAAGCAAAGGCTCCTCCTCCTCCTACTCCTCCTCCTCCTCCTCCTCCTCCTCCTCCTCCTCCTCCTCCTCCTCCTCCTCCTCCTCCTCCTCCTCCTCCTCCTCCTCCTCCGCATCCATCACACGCTTCGTGGCCCCGTAGGATGCGCCACCGAAGGGTCCGCATGCAGTTCCACCTCCGTTTGGGCGCAGTGGCCCCGTAAGGAGCTCCACCTAAGGCCCCAGTGATAGCGCCCGCATGCGGTCCCGTGTCGGCGCACCCCTCACACGCTCCGTGGCCCCACAGGAGAGCTCCACCGAGGGCCCCAGTGTGTCAGCGCCAGCATGCGGTTCCAACCCCCCTTTCGGCACGAACCTCTCACACGCTTCGTGGCCCCACAGGGTGCTCAACCGGAGGCCCCAATGGCCCCACGTTGCTCCCTCCCCCCTCCTTCGTGTCGCTTCCCTCGCGATGCGCAGTGCCCGCAAGGCGGCCCCGCCACACTACGGCACACCCTTCCCGTGCTGCGCTGCCCCATGAGGAAATGCTCCGATGGCGATGCTCACGACGAAGGTACTCACAGCTGCAGATGGTTGGGCCCTTCGCCAGGAGATTCGATGTGTAGAGGGGATCTCGCAGGACACCTCGCTGATGTATGTGATCATGCCTTTGCCCTCTTCTTTGTGTTGTCTTCATCCTCTTAACTTCGACGCCGAACACGACCCTTAAGCGCCAGATAACACTAAACACTCACTGAACCGGCCTGCTGCTAAGCTCCGACTCGAATTGTGAGCAAAAGGTGCTGCTGCCTGGGGTATACAGTGCCTTCCCCACGCGCTCTGATGGCTCTACTACTCAACTCAACTAAGTGCAAGGGCAAGAACTGAAGGCCAGAGAAAAATGGAACATCGCAGTTGCGACCGATGTAAGCATCACGGTCTATCAGAGCGTGGAGAGAGGAAATGGGAACAGGGCATGGACGGGCATAGAACCATGAGAGTGGTGCGAAAGTACGGGGCCACTAGATCTGAAACCAAAGAACAACAGGTAGCGTGCGCAAGGTTGGCGACTCTACACGGCGGCTGTCAGGCTCTCCCTGGCCGTCTCTTGAAGCTCGATGACGTACTCTGGGTAGATCTTAACTCCTTTCTTCACGATGACCTCGCGCGCCCCCCTCTTCTCGGGGTTCGCGAGGACGGCGTCCTTGCCCGCGGCCGCCATGTTGCTCATGGCGACTGGCTCCGACTTCGCCTCCGTGTAAAAGAGGGCGCCGCTGAGTACCTGTCAGAGGATGACGGCCGTAGAGACCTCCCTGCATCTTGGCGTAGACGAGGTTCATGGCCATGTCATCTTGCCATCTTTGGCCCGGGCACCCTCTTGCCATCGTGGGCCGAAGCGTTGCCCGAAATCTTGGACAGGTACTCCGCGAAGTAGATGCCCTGCCCAAAGCGACCTGGCGAGTCCACCCCCTGTCTCCGCCTGCGCCATGGCATCGGCCTTGTCGATCGCGACCCATTCCGCGTTCTCCTGGGAGATGCCATGCCAGAGCAAACTCTCGCTCAAGTCGCGGTCCAGGGTGGGCATCAGGATCACCCGAAATCCGTGGACAGCTCCAGCCGTCTGGCGCGCAAAACCGTCAGCGTCACGCCCGGGTCCGAGTTCATGCCATCAACGCGCCTCTGCCGAATGCCCGGGGCGCCTCGGCCCAGCTCGACCTGCTCTTCGCAGGGGTCCCTATCTGGATTCTCGTGGGCGTTCTGCCAGTTACACGGGTGGGTGCATGAAGTACGGCTGCGAGATCAGGGCTCGCAGACTGGCCTCGTCAGTCCCCTCGCACGCGCACGAGTAGACGACGATACATTCGGGATACGGCTGGCCAGAATCGCACACGACCCCAGTCGGCTCGCAACAATAAGACCTCCGCCAAGAGGAGTCGCCCGACCGCAGGCGACCGACGCGCGACCTTCAGGACCCCGCCCTCCGCGTCAGGCAGCCTCTCCGACGACCAGGAACAGCCCGTCGAGAAGCGGCACCCCGCGGCCGCGGCCGGCAGAGGGCCCGCCCGGGCCGCTCGGCTCGAGGGCGCGGCCCTCCTCCCGGAGCCCCCGCAGCGCCTCGGCGGCGGCGAGCGGCGCCCGCTCCGCCTCCCGAGGCGACTCGCCCCTCGGGCGGACGGTGGGCTGCTTCCGGGTGCCCTCGTCCGGGCCGTCTGGACGCCGCTGGACGCCGCCCCGGCGCGTCGCGCTCTGCCGGCCCGGGGTGCTCGGCCCGAGCGCGCGGTCCTCCTCCTGGAGCCCCCGCAGCGCCTCGACGGCGGCGAGCCGCGCCCGCTCCGCCTCCTCCGACGACTCGTCCTTCGGGCGGAACGCGGGACTCTTCCTGAGACGTTGATCTGGGCCGTTCTGCATCTTATACTGAATGCGCCACACCCTGTTGCGTTTGTCCCAGTGTATGTGCTTGGTGCCACTCTGGCGCTCCGCGGGGTCGTAGCTGACAGCGCGGGCCTGCCCAAGCAGGTCCTCCTCCTCCAGCCGCCGCAGCGCCTCCACGGCGGCGAGTCGCGCCTGCTCCACCTTCTCCGGCGACTCGTCCTTCGGGGGGAACGCAAGCTGCGTTCTGCGACCTGTGTCTGTGCCATTCTGTATCGTGTACCTAACGCGCCACAGCGCGTTGCATTTGTCCCAGTTTATGTACTTGACGCCGCTCTGGCGCTCCGCGCTGTGGCAGCCCGAGCTGATCCGCCCGAGCGCGCGGTCCTCCTTCTCCAACCGCCGCCAGCGGCGAGCCGCGCCCGCTCCACCTCTTCTGGCGACTCGTCCGTCGGGCGGAAGGTGGGCTTCTTCATGGTGCCTTTGTTTGCGCCGTCCAATATCCGGTACTGAATACGCCAGACCTGTCGGTCTTTGACCCAGTTTATGTACTTTACGCCACTCTGAAGCTCGGCGCGGTGGGAGCTGCCAGCGCGGGCCTGCCCGAGCTGGTCCTCCTCCTCCAGCCGCCGCAGCGCCTCGACGGCGGCGAGCCGCGCCTGCTCCGCCTCCTCCGGCGACTCGTCCTTCGGTCGGAACGCGGGCTGCTTCCTGCGACCTTGATCCGGGCCGTTCTGTATCTTATACGAAATGCGCCAGACCGAATTGCGGTTGTCCCATAGTGTGTGCTCGACGCCGCTCCGGCGCTCCGCGCTGCCGCGGAGTCCGGCTGCAGGAGCCGGCGCTGCGCGGCCGCGGCGGGCGGCCGCGGCCCGCAGCGGCGCCCCGCGCACTGGGGCGGGCGCCGCGGCCGGCCTGGCAAAGGCCACTGGTTACCAGCCTCGAACGTATCCCTATACCTAAGATTGGCACGCCAAAAAGCGATGACAATCTTAGGGATCCGCCCTCAAAAAATAAGGGAATCCCCGAAGATTGGCATCTTGATGAGGAGGTGCCCAGCATAGGGATAGGGATGTGTTCCAGGCTGGTAAACTGGGGCAAGGTGCCCGCGCCACGCGGCCGCCAGGGCTGCGCCCAGCGCTGCCGCGGCCGCGCCGCGGCGGTCGCGGCGGCGGCAGGTCATGCCGGCCTCTTGGAGCGCAGCGGCTCGCCCGGCGTGCGAGCTGCGGCGCGGGCGGGCTGCCCGACCAAGGCCATGGGAAGCACTGGAGCCTCTGGAGCCCAAGTGGCTTGATGGCTGCGGATGCCTCTGCCCTCTCATCGAACCAAGTCGTTTGGTTCCTTGGGGAGACAGGGCTCTCGCCTGAATGCCAGGCCCGCAAGGGGGCTGATCGTTCAAGTGGGCGCTTCCCGAAGTGGAAAGGAAGGCGGGTAGGGACGTATGACGAGGGGGCTTGAAGTTATCTTCGAGTGGGGGATCGACTACAGAATTGATTGACCCCAAAATTTACTTCTCCGCCGAATCCACGAAAAAACATAGATTGCTCAATGAAATCTACGGAGCAGTCGATATATTTCCCGTAGGTTCGACGGAAAACCCAATTTCGGGGCAAAGCAATTCTGTCTACAGGCAGCCCGCATAGTACGCGAGAAAGATGCAAGGGCCTTGGAAGGCCATGCCGACGCTCCGCGAGCGGGGCGCGGCCAGCGGAAGCGGCCAAGGATGGGCCGAGGAGGCAGGGGTGCAAGGGCACGCTTGGGAAGGGTGCCCCTCCTTACCGTGCGGGCTGACTGTACTCGACATATGCGTGCTGAGTTATTTTTCCCACGGCGAGAGCCTCTGGTGTCCGGCGGCTTGGCCCAAACAGCCGCGCCCGAAGGCACCGAGGCACAGCGAGAAAAGAGCACCGCCCGGCCGTGCCCGTCCAATTGAGCAGGGAACGACCATCCTGGCATTCCTACAGTCCTACCACGAAACGTTCGTAGAACCCAAAAATGTTCTAATGACAAAAACAATGTTCTTAGAACATAGACCCGATGTGCTGATACAAGACAGTCCCAGCCAGAAATGTTCTGAGAACATTTCGTGGAACCCACACAAGGCTCTTAGAACATTGTTTGGTAGGTTTATAGGCACGCCAGGACGCTTCGCCACTGCTTGAATTAAGTCGGGCGTGTCCCCCTACAGGGCTTGACTTTGGGCGACAAGAAAAATCCTCAAACAATGCTCAGAAAATGCTCCCAAAAATGGCCAAACAATAGTCCCCGTACTATTTTTTACTACTTCTGCTGGATACTCCTCCTGTAGAGGGACGGGCCCGACTTAGTGCTTGAACCGAGGCACGGCGAGAAAACCGCACCGCCCGGCCGTGCCCGCCCAAGACGGCGGAGGAGCGCGGCCGGCGGAGGAGCGCCTGCGCGGAGCCGGCGGGCGCCGGGCCCGCCGCAAGGCAGGCGGACCCCCGGCGCCGGGCCGATGTTCCACCGCCGCTGCCACGTGCAGGAGAGGGCGGAGGAGGAGGGAGGAGGGAGGAGGGAGGAGGGAGGAGGGAGGAGGGAGGAGGGGGGAGGGAGGAGGAGGAGGAGGAGGAGGAGAAGAAAGAGAAAGAGGAGGAGGAGAAAGAGAAAGAGGAGGAGGAGGAGGAGGAGGAGGAGGACCTCCCCATCCTCCCTGCTGCCCCGTCCTACCGATGGCAGTGGTGATGGAAGAGAATGGCCCATCACCCTGGGGGGCCACGGGTGCGCCCCGCGCCGCCCAGGAGCCGGGGGCGCTCGGCGGGGGGGGGCCGCTCAGCGGAAGTGGTGCGCGCGCTTCCAAGGCTTCCCCCGCGGCTTCCCCTTCCTGGTCTGGTAGGGGCCGAGGACCGGCTGCTTCTTGTTGCAGCCAGGGATCGCCGCGGAGATCGCCGAGTGGTCGTCCGAGCCGAGGATGCCCCCGGCGTTCGCCACGTTGCCGATGCTGAAGGAGAGGTCGTTGGCGAAGATGGAGGAGTTGGTGGTGCTGTTGAACCCCCGCCACACCGTGCTCCAGAAGACCTTGATGTCGTGGCCGCGGTTCAGGCTGTTCAGGCTGCACTCCACCTGCATGATCCTCTGGCGGTGCATGTAGGTCCTGTACGTGGGCTCCCTGATGACGCCCCGCGGAGTACCCATGTAGCATATCGGGACGTTGTCGAAGAGGTGCCTGGCGTCAGTGTTGGTAACGTCCTGGGAGTTGCCTCCACTGTCAGAGAAGGTGTACGTGTATTCATGAGCTGCCGTGTCGTTGAAATTATCGCTCCCCACGTTGAACACAAGCTTTGTGATGTTTGTCCCGACGGAGCCTCCCTCAAATGTGACAGTGCGAATGAGGAGGTCTTCGCATGGATCGTCGGTGAGCTTCCCGAACGTGGCATACACAATCAGGTCGGCGGCGGCCGGATTCTCCAGATCTGCATTCTCGGGCAGCACGATGACGGCGTGCTCCCCCGGTGTGGTGACGTGGAACTTCTCGAGGGCAGCATTGGTCAACTCCGGGTCAAGCGCTGTAGCGATGCCCGTGCGCGATAGTGCGTCGCTGGAGGGAGCATCGTGGACGTTCAGACCGACCACGGCGGCAATCTCCGCAGCGGCAAGAAGCAGCCTGGCCATGGCGCAGAGAAGAGATCGACGGGCGAGTACCGAACAGTTCGCGGATGGCGGAATCACCTCGGCCAAAATGGCGACTCGCGGGAACGCGTGAGGAGGGGGCTCGGGAGGGGAGGGCGCATTGCAGCATCGTGAATGCATCTTGGGTTTGCTCTGGCCTCGCTCCTCGGGCACCAGGGGCGGGAAGGAGGGGCAGGCTGGCAAATGACGCGTGCGGGGCTGGAGGGATGGGGACGCGCGGGCCCAATGGTGCTCCCCAGACAGGGGGCGCGACGATGGGCCGCCCGAGCCATCACACCTCACTGCCAGGGGCGGCACCGCTGTGAGACCAGCCCTGCACATCGTCCTGCTCCCCAGGCGTGCACGCACGTGTATCACGAACCAGATGCGCGTGGCATGCATCAGGCGCCGCACCGCCAGACTTCGGGCGCAGTGGTAAGCCTGGCGGGGCACTTGTTTGACCATGCGAACAGGGCGCCCCGCGGCCGAGGAGAGAGGAGGAGGGAGGAGGAGGGAGAAGGAGGAGGAGAGAGGAGGAGGAGGAGGAGGAGGAGGAGGAGGAGGAGGAGGAGGAGGAGGAGGAGGAGGGAGGAGGAGGAGAGGAGGAGGAGGAGGAGGGAGGAGGAGGGAGGAGGAGGAGGAGGGAGAAGGGGGAGGAGGAGGAGGAGAGGAGGAGGAGGGCGGAGGAGGAGAGGGATGGAGGAGGGAGGAGAAGGAGGAGAGGAGGAGGAGGGAGGGGAGGAGGGGGGGGAGGAGGAGGGAGGAGGGGGAGAGGAGGAGGAGGGAGGAGGAGAGGAGGGAGGAGGGAGGAGGAGGAGGAGGAGGAGGAGGAGGGAGGGAGAGGAGGAGGAGGAGGAGGGGAGGGGAGGGAGGGAGGAGGAGGAGGGGAGGAGGAGGAGGGAGGGAGGAGGAGGAGGAGGAGTAGGAGGAGGAGGATGAGGAGGAGGAGGAGGAGGAGAGGAAGGGAGAGGAGGGAGGAGGAGGAGGAAAGGGAGGGAGGAGAGGAGGAGGGAGGAGGAGAGGATAGGAGGGAGGAGGAGAGGAGGAGGAGGGAGGGAGGAGGAGGAGGACGAGGAGGGGAGGAGGAGAAAGGAGGAGGAGGAGGAGAGGAGGAGGGAGGAGGAGGAGGAGAGAGGGAGGGGAGGAGGAGGGGCGGGGGCACACGACCCCCCAGCGAGAGCGCCGAGTCAATGGGCCTCCTGCCAGCACCGGGAGCGAGGAGCCCCCCTCGCAACAGCAATAGGGAGCGGCGTGTGGGTCGGGGCGAGGGCCGAGCGCGGGCATCCAGCGATGCCCGGGAGGTCCCTCTGAGTTTGGCCCTTTAGACACCACAGATAAGTCGGGCGTGTCCCCCTACAGGGGTATTTTCGACGAAAAAGAGAAAATACTCAAAAACTACTCCACAATGGTCA